CCCAGGTTAACATGGTTGTCAACGTCGTTGATAAGGTCAATATTTGCATGTTGTTCAACATTATTTAGCAAACCTCCTACATACATATATTATACTGTTAAGATGACCGAGTCAGATCACAAGAAAGCTTATCAAGAATAGAAGTTAGAAATAGAACAGTTGTAATATTTTTTGACACTATCGTCTGTTATTTGTATCAATAAACATGATTTAAACTTTGCAAATTTGCGTTGTCATGCGTTGCTAATGGAATGTTACGGACCACAGGCGCTCCCAAACTGTAGTTTTGCCACTCGGGAATAGTTGCATCCGACCAGGTGATATACCTATGGCTATGATAAAATTTGCAGCTCTTCACAAAGTCAAAACACAGTTATTCCTGACTGCTTTAATAGTTATAAACATTGTAAAATTTACCTTGTAATTTCGGCGACTTTCGCTAACAAAAAGATATTGAGAAAGTTCTTTAACCACAGGAGGTGCCCCTTTTCTTTAGTTTAGGTTTATTTTTCTTCGTTTTGAAAGACTTTTAGACATGCACTTTTTGCCGTTTGAAACTCGGCTCTTGTCGCAGGGCAATAAAAATTGCGTATTGCCCGTGGGCAATACGGGAAAATCCTGCCTCGTCAGCAGCCAATCAAATTGCGCGATTCATCAAAACAAATGCTTGCCACATAATAATATTCTATATTCATAATAAATACAACTTGATCAAGCAGGTGTCTGGTTACATGTCTACATTTGGAAAGCTACCGCAACCACACTAAGTCTTTCCAATATGAGGAATCCAAAAACAACACCGAACCGATGGGAAATTGACATCTGCTTCGTGTGCGAGACATGGTTGAACAGTAAGATATTATCAAATTTAGTATGTCCCAATAACTATCTTATTGTAAGAAAAGATCGCGGCGATGGTCGAAATGGAGGAGGTGTTGCTATAATTTGTCGGGAAGATTGGAAATGTAAATCTCTAAACTTTCAAAATAATTTGGAATGCATCTGGTGTGAAATTGAGACAGCAAATAGCAAATACTATGTCGCCTCTGTGTATCACCCTCCGGACCCCACATATCAGGAAACCGAATTACTAAATCATTTATCAGAGAGTATAGAGCAAATTCTTCAGTGGGAATCAAATGCCAGAATTATAATTGGAGGAGATGTTAATCAACTGAAGGTTAAGGATATTATAAGTCAACATAATATGGAACAAATGGTGAGAAAACCTACAAGAGGTCAGAAAATACTTGACATTTTCCTAACTAATTGTCCACACTTATGGAATCACCCTAGAGTCTTTGATGGCTTAGTAAAATCTGACCATTTGGCTGTCGTGATAACTCCACGGGTAGCTGTAAAACCGGAAAGAAAAACAGTTTATTTTAGAGATGCAAGAGACCATCGGAAGTTTGCTATGGTGAGAGAGTTGGAAGCACAAGACTGGAGCTGTATTGATGACTGTGAAGACGTGAACAAATCAGTTATGTTATTAAATCATATTATCACTTCTGCATTCAACAACAGTTTTCCATTGATTAAGATAAAATTATCCACACGAGATCCCCCATACATGTCTCCTTTGGTAAAACACTTATGTAAAATACGCAATAAAAGTGTGAGGAAAGGAGTTAACGAAGATCTACAAAGAAAGATAAATAAGCTTATCCGAGAAAATATGGTTAGTGAAGTTAAGAAGGAGAATGGGAAATATGCATCTGGATCGAAGAAATGGTGGGACACAGTTAATAAAATCACCGGTAGGAAGGCAAATCACACCAGTATAAATATTGATCCAAGTGTTATAAATAGTTATTTCCAGACAATAAACACTGATGATAATTATACATATCCTGAACTCGTTCCTATACCCAATGAGACTAGAGTACCAAATGTTGATATACCCACTGTAGAAAGGTTTTTGGAAAAACAAAAGAAAACATCAACAGGTCCTGATGGCCTACCCTATTGGGTATGGAAAGACTTTGCAAAATATCTAGCCCCAGTGATAACAAATATATTTAACATGTCATTGGAACAGCAACGCGTTCCCCTCCTATGGAAATTAGCCAATCTTAATCCAATACCTAAGGAAAGCCCCCTTATAGAATGTACACAATTAAGGCCTATATCTCTTACGAACGTAATAATGAGATTGTTCGAAAGAATAGTGTTTAAAAAAGAGATCGCATCAGAACTAAAACAATTAATAAAATCTGACCAATTCGCATATAAGGAAGGTACCAGCGCAACTGATGCTCTTATTATGTGTCACCATAAATGGCTAAATTGGTTGGATGGTGATGTTGATCATGTCAGGGTGATTTCATTCGATCTCAAGAAAGCCTTTGATTCCGTTTCTCACAACATCATTTGCAAGAAGCTAGGAAAAACCAACATTAATCCATATGTAATAAATTGGATTAGAAATTTTTTGACTGATAGGAGACAAAGAGTAATAGTAAACGGAATAGAAACAAATTATGTAGACATAAACAAAGGAGTACCGCAAGGCACAGTTCTTGGACCATTTCTATTTTCCTTAATGATAAATGATCTAACAGTCAAAGGTCCAAATAACAACATACTAGTCAAATTTGCAGATGATATGACTGTTAGCGCTCCAGTGAAAAATAATTATGACTCCGCACTAGCTGAGGTAGACAATATTGAAAAATGGACGGAAACAAACAGAATGTCATTAAATCTAGATAAAACATGGGAAATGGTTGTAAGTGGCAAATCAACAAATCCTTTACCAGAACCAATACCGGGTATCGAACGCAAGACTTGGCTGAAACTATTGGGAACCACACTGCAGAATGATCCAAATTGTTGGGACCTTCAAGTTAATAATTTGATATCTAAAGCTAGTAGTCGAATGCACATCTTGAGAATATGCAGATCGTATGGCTACTCTAAAAAAATTTAACAATTCTCTTCGACGCACTTATTATGTCTTTATTTTCTTATGGAATCGAAGTATGGGGTTCTGCACTTGAAAAGAAGTACCTGGAACGGATTGATAAATTTCTTAGGCGAGCATACAAATATGGATACACAACAAAAAGTGTTCAGATAATTGATGTGATTAAAGAAAGAGACATGAGTTTATTTGAAAGAATATGTAGCAACCCAGACCACCCTTTATACGAACTACTTCCTCCTAAAAGACAAAGACCGTTAAGAGAACGCGAACACGATTTCATATTACCTAAGGTTAAAACAGAAAGATTCAAACGGTCGTTTTTAAATAGGTGTCTTTTTAATAATTTTAGCTAAAATAATTAACTTAGATACATAATAATAATTTAGTCTTAGTCTTTTTAAGAATTCTACCTAAGAATAATTAACTTAGATACATAATAATAATTAAGTTTTTTTTTTTTTTTTGGAACCTTGTATATGAGAATTTTAAATGTAAAGTCACACGTCTGTTGTGGCTATGTTTAATAAAGACTTAATAATAATAATAACCCAGGGGCGAATCTAGGATTTTTCAAACATAAGTCGAACGCCGAATGCGTGAGCCATGCTATGGGGGTCTGGGGGCATACCCCTCCGGAAAATTTTGAAATCTAGAGTCTCTGAAATGCGATTTCAAGCGTTTTGGCGGTGAGATTTTGCAGAATTCCAAAGATTATAAAGTATATCAAGCGCATGCGGTTTTTATGATCTCACAAACGTGCCTTCTCCCAGTCCGCGGAATTAGATTTACCAACAAAGGGTCATATTACAAAACACATCGTGCAGTTTCAACTATCAAAAGCCTTTGAGTTTGGCTCATGAAATCCTTCGCAAATTGAAGTTATATGGTATTTTTATTATTATTATTATTATTATTATTAATTAATTCTCCAAACATTTGGTTTTTCAGATTAATATACATGTAAATTATATCTAAATAATTCTATTGTATATTTACAGTTTAAAATCGTTAAAATTAGATAAGTTCAATTAAGATTTTAAAAGAAAAAGTTCAAGCAGATTTACTTTTAAAGTCTCTACAATTGTCATGTACAGTAATGTTACTAGGTAGAGAGTTCCACAGGGATACTGCTCGATATTCAAATGTTCGTTGTCCGGCCGCCGATCTATAAGCTGGAATATTTAGTTTTTGTTTATTTCTGGTGTTTCTATCGTGTAAAGATAATCTCTCCTGAAAATATGAATTGAGATAGTCAGGGGCTAGTCCATTCAAACATTTGAACGTTAGAACGCCAACAAAGTATTTTAACATGTCTGGGACAGGTAACCAATTCAATTGTTTGTGTATTGGTGTAACATGCTCATATTTTTGTGTTCCTGTGATTATTCTCGCCGCGACGTTTTGCACTTTTTGTAATTTTTCTATGTTCTTTTTGGTCGTATTGGACCATACGTTTGAGCAATAATACAATTTGGAAAATACTAGGGACGAGATGACATTTTCCAAAATCCTAGGGTCAAAAAGATGTTTTACCCTGTTTATCTGACATAAGCTCGCAATGCAAGTAGAAACAGTGTTTGCTATATGGTCGTTAAAACTTAGTGTTGAATCAAGTTGAATCCCAAGATCGCGTGCTGAAATAGTGGGAGTAATCCTTTTCTCGAGTAATGTCACATAAAAGTCATCCGGTAATCGTTGCAACATTTTGCGTGTTCCTAGTACTAACACTTTGGTCTTGTCTGAATTAATTAGCAGACTATTGTGACAGCACCATGTTGTGATTTTTGATAGGTCTTCATTGATATTCCGCATAACTTCATTAACATACTTGATGGGAAACAAAAGTACAATTTTGAATCATCTACATACGATTCTAAGTCACCGAAATTCGGGATGGTGGGCAAATCATTCAAATATATATTGAACAAAGCAGGTCCTAATATCGAACCTTGCGGTACACTATGAGTGATATGACGTGGTTCTGACACAACTGAGCAAATCTTCACCTGCTGCGTCCTTTCGGTCAAGTAACTTTTGAACCATTCTAATGCGCCATGGCTTAGGCCTAATGTTAAGAGTTTGGGTGATCTATACTGTCAAACGCTTTTGACAAATCTAGCAATACTATGACTGTGAGTTCTTTTGAGTCCATTGCTTTAAACACCTTGTCTGTCATAAACACGCCAAGAGTCTCACATAAATGTAGTTGTTTATTATCACTTTGATGTTTACTTAGGCATTTCTTTTTGTTCGTATAAGAGGTCAGTTGATTTAAAGCTACTCGTTCACAAATTTTAGAAGTCGCTGGTAGTAACGATAGCGGTTGATTGTTATTTGCCACTTCGTGATCTCCTTCTTTAAGAAGTGGTATTACTTCTGATATTTTCCAGGCTGATGGAAAGACTGAAGTCTGTACGAGCGATTTATCATGTCAGTAATAACTGGGAGAATACATGGAAGTGCATCCTTTATCGTAGACATTAATATTCGTACTTTATCATGGCCAGGAGCTTTGTTCGATTGGAATGCCATAACTGTCCTTATAGTACTTCTCCACACGAGATCCAATATAACTCGCTGTTATAACTCGCCTATCCAATATAACTCGCTGTTTGTGAATCAAAATTCTCAAGCAAAATAAAGAATAATATTTCAATTATACTTTGTAAAATGCATTTTTTATTCAATGAATTACAATATGCTATAAATATCACTTGTATATTATAAACGATATTCATCGCAAATCTTTCATGCAGTGCAAATCATCCAAATGATATTGTTTTAACACTCCAATGGCAATGCTCTATTCTGGCCCTTTTTATAATGGGCGATGCGTTTATAAACCATAAATACAGCAGGAAAGCTATAAGGCCGGAAAGCGCATTGTAAGTTGCAACACAGTTTATAGACTAAGAGTAAAAATGTATTAAAGCGTGTTATATTTCAACATCGCATTTATCATACAAGATACATTGCAATATATTAATTTCTGTTTCGTAATTTTGGATATTATCATACATTATAGCAGTGCACACTTTCCCCTTGGTTTTACCACCCAAATTACGACCATGATCTATGTGAAGCACGTAGCAGAGAAGTCTCAATTTAGTGCCTTCTCGTTGTTGAACAGAACAACATTATAAAAGCTGCTCGTTTGATATCTTAGCTGCCCCACAATAATCCTCATTCAGAGACAATTCAAGTTTATTAAAGGCCGTTAAATCGTCTCGTAAAATCGGCCGCGTACATATAAATACTCGACATCGTAAAATAATCCTCCCAACTATGAAAAACCTTCATATACGGGAATATGAAAGACTGCTTTGCATGAATTTCACAATTTTCAAGGACTGATATCCCCAGCCGCGAATAAGTCCGAATCAGTCCAAAAAAATTAACCAATAGAAATTGTCAATAATTTCAAATTGACCAATCAAAATGAAAGAAATGGACTGATAAAAACTCCCTTAAAGTGCAAATCAGTCGGACCACCCCATAAAAACTCCCTTAAATAGCAAATCAGTCCGACCCCCCCCCCACAATATTTTCAAATTGACCAATCAAAGGAAAGAAATGGACTGATAAAGACTCCCTTAATAATTATAGTGCAAATCAGTCCGGCCACCCCACAGATCAGTCGAGGTAAGTCCAAATGACCTCTCGACCAATCAAATGAGCATAACGACCACCCGATTCTGCGAGATTCTTGCGTTTTGCCGCTGCTCTAGATAAAGCATATATTTATTAAAAACTGAGCTCGTAAAGACGTATACTGGACTATGATATGAATTTTATATTATATTCGGGAATTAATTATTCAAATTTCAAAATAATAAATTAATTATTTCTTTGCAAAAAATACGTCAGTCACGCGACTGATTGGACTTACACTAGATCCGCCCCTGAGTCTGACGGAACTGTCCAAGTACGTCTGGAAACTGAAGTCAGATAACAGTCAGTACACAATAAAGTGGCCCATTATGAAGAAAGTCAAATCATACAAACCAGGATCTAAACGGTGCAATTTATGCCTCGAGGAGAAACTACTCATTATGAAAGCGAAGAAAACTGAATGCCTGAACAAACGCTCTCACTTGTTTTCCAAATGTAGACATGTAACCAGACACCTGCTTAATCAAGTTGTAAAGTGATAACCTGTATTTATTATGAATATCGAATAATATCTGTCAGTTGCCTCATGATCGCGTAAAGCGCGAAACTCGGAGTAGCGACGCAAACATTCAAACCTTGACTGAATTATATATATATATATATATATATATATATATATATATATATATATATGTAGCGGGTTTTTTTTAGTTGTTTTCAGACGAGTGTATACCAAACCGGGCAAGCAGAAAATTCTACTTGACCGCGGCTGGGATTCGAACCCGCGACCTTCGCATTTCTAGAACGATGCTCTACCTTCTGAGCTACAAGGTCAAGCTGAGAACGACGTGTTAAGTTATGATGTTATTCGCATTTCGGAGGTTAGTCCTTCAATGCGTGAAGCCAGCTATTAGTCTGGCAATGTTGTATGTGAATGTTGTGGTTAACACGTCGTTCTCGTAACACGAGTGGAATCGTCAACGTTGGAAACCACAACATTCATATATATATATATATATATATATATATATATATATATATATATATATATATATATTTATATATAGGCTAGAGAGAGATAAAGATAAAATAAACCTGGTTTACTTCATAAGATTTTATTCACTACAAACTTGTTTCGTATGACAAGCAATGCTTGCTACACTCATCAGGTGAATTTACATTTAAATTCACCTGATGAGTGTGGCAAGCATTGCATATATATAAAATATTTTTAACATTTGCCC